ACAGCCCCCCATGTGCACGGGGCAAACGGAGATCAAGGAGACTTTCAAGTACATCAACACGGTGGTGTCCTGCCTCGTCTTCGTCCTGGGCATCATCGGCAACTCCACGCTGCTGCGGATCATCTACAAGAACAAGTGCATGAGGAATGGCCCCAACATCCTCATCGCCAGCCTGGCCCTGGGCGACCTGCTTCACATCGTCATCGACATCCCCATCAACGTCTACAAGGTGAGGGGGAGCCGGAGATGGGTCCGGCGGCGGGCGCGGGGCTGCGGCGGGCTCTCGTCGGGGCTCCCCGGCAGGTACCCGGCACCTCCGTGGCTGCTGGGGGAAAACGCGCCCAGTTTGCTCCCGGGGGCTAGACTTCATGCCGAAAACCTGCCGGAAGGTAGTGTGCCGGGCAGATGTTGTCCTTGTTGGCCCACATGGCACCCCCTCTGTGCCCTAGTCCCGGTCTTCTCAGCGGTCCGGGCTGGGAATGGGGCAGAAGGAGGCGGCTGGAGGTGGCCACACTCTGAAGGTCACCTGGAAACAGGTGCTGTCCTAGCGATAAAGGAGATAAATTAAACAGATAAATGCGTAGTGTATTCATGGTTTCCCTGCTTTCTCACGAGGAATGGAGGGGGAGGCATGGAAGACACTCTGCGGTGGGGTGGGCACCACTAGGCCCCTCCTGCACAGCCGGAGCAGGCTTAGGCGCGTACTCCCCGTGGGTCCGAACAGTCACGAGCGTCAGGGGGACTTTTTCAGGAGGATCCAAGCGCATTCAAACTGAGCAATTTGTATTCGCTTTATACGTCCAGCGGTTGTGAGGCACGATGCTCTCCTGAGCTGTGAACCCTTTCCCCTGTGGGCCAGTGTTGCAGCATGAGTAGCCAAGAGGGAGTGAACACTGCTGCTGCTCTTGCACCTCTTTGCTCTGCCCTTTGACGTGGTAAGACTTGCCACGGAAGGAGTACAACCCCTGCCCCGTTTACCCAGCTTGCGCAGTCCATTTGTCCTCAGGAACTGGTTGGGCAGTTGAATCCTACAAACTACAGTTGAGTATTTACACTCAGTGCTCTTGGGAGGGATGCTGGAAGTAACAAGGCAGCTTCTGCCTTGGAATTTACTGCCTGGGTCTCTGAGCACCCATCAGTTATTGTATAAAGTGAACGTGAGAGCCTTCACCTGTTCCTTCTCCTCACTTCATATGCATGTTTGTAAACTGGCATTTGTTACTTTTAGCTTTGGAAAACCACATTGAAGGGTGGGTTCTCAATTTAGTCTTCTGTATCCATAGTGATTACTCCCAGAAGCTGCCAAAGTGGGAGAATCCTGGATCTTTATCCTTTTCAAGTAGTGAGATATTACAAAGCAGGCAACATCATAACTGTGTTAAATTCATGAGCCAGATAATGTGGATTACACAAGAGTAATTTTCATTTGGAGTTTCAGTATTTTCCATACTATACATTTATCATAGCTGCTGTGAGAGGCATGTACTATTCTGAGAGTGGAATTCATGAATCAAAACACTTTTAAACTGTTTTGAGAAAACTGTATTTTTGTAAAAAAAGATACTGAACAAATTTTTCTTTATCTGTCCTGAGAAAAAAACAAAAAGATTAAATCAGTAACAGCTGCTCAGTACAAGACTTTGCAATATCAATGAGACTATTTCAAAATTAAATTAATTATAACATGCAATAATATACCACAGTCCTTATCTTGACTGAATGTCATCAAGTATATCATTATGAGTAGGTTGGAGCGAGAGGAATAAAAGGTCTGATCGATAAATATATCAACTGCAAGTCCAGGATTTTTATTGTACTGTTGATAACGCTAGGAACTAAGCAATAGCTCTCAGGTGCTGATTCTCCCATACTGCTAGCCATCTTAATGAAGAGCCCATGATAAATTTGTATTATCCTTTACGACAGCAAGTGAACTATTTGCTGTTTAAAAACAGGACTTCTGAATAAATGTCAGTTAAAAAGACCCAAACAAACTTCAGACATTGTGTTTATTTAATCAAAATTAAGAAATTGAGTGAGATTTGAGTTGATGATAACTTTTCATCAACTCTACATCCCATTTAATTCCACTCACAGAGCAACGTTATGAGGGAGAATACAGTAATGCAATCAAAAGTTGGCCATAATCACCTGGCAGCATGGGGGAAAACAAAGGCTAGCAAAGGCTTGGTTTACAAATCAAGTATACTTAACAGTTGTAACTTGCAATTAGTCATATTCATATGCCATAAATACAGTAACACACCACAATAAACTGCATGAAACATATCTTCAGAATTGCTATTAGATCCTCAGTTAGACAGCTGTGAGAAAAAGAATGTGAGAGAATTCCTCATGTTAATAAAATGCCAGCAGTTTACTCAACACCACTTGTAGTAGACAGTGCGAAAGGGTCTGTGAATGCTTTCCAGGCAGACCAATAAGAGAGAACTCAGAATTCGCACTAGAAACAGCATTTTGTTAGGTATTAAAAGTGATAACTGCAAAAGATGTCCCCTGTGACTGTTTAAGTGAATATGTAAATAGCTAAAAGAAATGCACAAATTAAAATTTACAGCTCTTAAATTGAGACTATCTAAAGAAAAGCAGGTGTTAGCTAGATTGTGAGGCAAATGCAGTTCAGTGTCTAAAATGCTAATTAGTCCATGGCAATTGATACAATTTGAATATCAATCAATACATTCAGAAGAAAATAGGAAGTATTGGAATCTGTCACACAGTCAGGAAACTGGGTGAGAAATGAGGATTTGAGGAGTGTTCAGTTCCAGCATGCAGAACCTGGAAGACCATTTTGGTGTTCAGGGTCCTGGTAAACAGTCTGGCTTTGACCATACCCACAGAACTGCAGAACGGGAAGCAGAGAAAAGTCCAAGACAAGCATTCTTGAGTATGCAGTGTTGTGGCAGCATAGAAACTTTGCAAAGTTGCTACTAATTGGATGTGAAGTTGGTCCTGTGCCGGGTCAACTGCTTCACTAAACAGATTAAGTAAGCATGTCTTTGTTAATTTGAGGCAGTGAACAGCAATTAAAGGTATGAGCATAAGGAGCAGAAGGACAGAGTAGGTGGTCAGTCAACTTTTTATGTCCTCTGCATTTAATCTTTGGAATACAAGACAGTGGCAGCTTGTACACCTGACAGTACAGATCTGCAATTCTAGAAGGCTTATGCTCAGTTTCCCAAATCGATAAAGCTGTTAAATCCCCTGTGTAAGACACCAAAACAACATTAGGATTGGAAATTCCAAATTTACATTAGCTCCACCTCTCATGCATATGTGTATGATAGGAACATAGACTTTAAAAAATCCTAATCAAATAATATAACACCCTTTATCTTCTGATATATAGACATCTCCTTTCTGATTTTGTAATATTTATTAAATTTATTAAATTTATTGCCATGTTCCGATGGATTTTTAACAGGGTGAACAAGCACATTCTTGTGTGGCTTTCTGAACTCTTGACTATCAGTTTGCTATGACACAAATGACTGAGGAAGAATATTTACCTGGAAATACTGTCACAGGTTCCTTTATCTCAGAGCACAATGGAAGAGTGGAAAAAAAATTTCCAGGGAAGGAACAAAACCTGGTCTTTATCCAAGCCAATGATTAAAGGCCAAAGTCAGCTTTGTAGGTAACAATTTTTTTCATTAATGTATTTTAAAGCATTTAAAATGTAGTTAACATTATATAACATTATCAAGCACTGAAAATATAAGAAAGAACAGATTAGGGACTGCATATTCCATGCAGATGCAAACTGGCCCCTTTGTTAATCCATCTGTGCTCTAAAAAAGACAGGATTTCCATGAAAATGTCTTTGTGATGACCTTACCAGTTCTTGTAATGCAAGTACTTACAAGGCATGCATCATGGTAAAGCCAATCTTTTCCTAACTTTCAAAAAAAGTCAAGTTGCTTGTCTTTAGAAAACATTATTACTATTCCATATTACAGTTCTTGGCCATTGGTCTTTCTGATGTTAAAGATAACAGCCATGTTATTGGGAGAAATGCATTTTTTCCTTCCTTTCAACATCTGAACCAGTTACCTGAGGTCTGGCAAAGTTCATCTCAGAATTTCTTACACAAAGTTTGTTGATCTCCGACCATATTAAGCTACAAGTCTCTTGTGTTTAGGAACCCTTTATGGTCAACCAATGCAGTTTGTAGGCACTTAGAAAGAATCTGAATTGTCCAGTGGAGGAACCTGTCTAGACTCTACAGGCAATGGGGGGGGTGGTAACTTTATTCTGTAGTTAGATGGGAGCAACCTACTCTGAAGTCCAATATATATGGGGCAGTGGAAATGTCTGTATGTTCTTAAAAGTGCACATACATACTTTTAATGATGGATCTCTAAACTGAAATACATAAGGTGATGTCACTATAGATTTGTAAATTTAGTTTTTTCACTATGTAAACATTTGTTATGTATACATTCACTTAAAAGATGCGTGTGACAAATTTCAAAGCAAGTTTTCATGTATTTTTTTGCTTCCACCCTGTGCTTATACTTCCCAATCTTAACAACAGCAGCATGGCTTTCTTAATGGTTACTTTTGACTCAGTCCTTTCACTGGGGTTGTGAAATCTCAGAAAGTTTTTACTTTGACATTGTCAGCTTTCTGTCATTTTCAAGATGTCTATATGATATTATTTGAAGTTTGGTTTTTTTTTTTTTAAATGTAGTTTCTAAGCAGAAGTTGCCTGTAAAGACACAGGAAAAGAAACTAATTGCATGCCTCATATTAGGATTTACACTTTATTGGATGGATCAGGAAAACATTCTTAGCTCAACTAGGAAGTAGGAGATTTATTTTCTTGTCTAGAGGGAAGATCTCCACCCTGCCATCATAATTATTGTTAAATATTAATAAGTTTTGTAGTGTTTTCAGACTTATCCCTGACCATAAGCTTAATTTCCTGGGCAAATTTCCTTTCCTGTTTTGAAAAATTCTTGCTCCTATGAAATACTGAAAAATACTTTATCTGCATGATGTCCCCATCTCAAAAGTATCAGGTGAAAATCTGCCAGTCATTTCACAGATGTATTGAAAAAAGTTGCAGTTGCGTAGTTGCATGTCTGATTTTCCATGTAACTCTTCAATTCGTAATGATGAAAATCAAGTCCTGTCATCCCGTGAAGTAGACTTGCTGTGAACACACAGCTAGGAGGAAGTACGAATTCCTGCTCTGCATTTCCATGTTCATTCATTGCTTGGGACTAGGACACTGACATAAATAAATGCACACTTCTTTGTGCCTGACTGCAAAAAGTCAATGGTAGAGGGTTGGAGCTGTGGCCTTCTGGTTGGTGGCCACAGCTGCTGAGCCATCCAGAGCAGTGTATCTGCTTGCATGCTGTCATATTCCAGCAACAGATTATGAACATCTTTCTTTTCCTATACAACCAACAGGAAGCAGGGCAGGAATTGCAATTCACAGGTGTGTCTCTGAGTCACAACATCTCTTGGGACTACTTTCATAGCTGTGCAGCTTTCACATCAGTTTAGGCTCAGATCTGTGTCTGGTCTGAGAAAGTGTTGGCTAGGAATGCATCAGATGTATTGGTTCTTTTAAGTATGATTTATTTAACTTCATTCTGTACTGTGTTTCCTTTCCTTTCGTGCTATTTCATTTCATCCAACACATTTCTGTGGCTTAGCAGTTAAAATTTGCCCATGTAAAATAAGTGACTGTAAAACATTGGAAAAGGTCATTTGGAATATGGCCAGTGGTAGACTTCTCTTGGCATGTTACTGCCGAAAATGTAACATTTTTCTCTTTGCTGTCACTTGGCAGTATCTCCGGACTCCAAGTCATTTATCATTTGTAAAATGGCACGCTTTGTACAGATACCCTATTATGAATCGTAAGGAAACCGTTTTACCCATATGAAATTGCATTAGACTGCATCTGTACTTCACTAATAATAATCATTGCTTTTGTCCACAAATATGATGCTTGTGAATTCTTTATAGTGGATTTTCACTGTACTGTTTAAGGCAGTGTTTTGAGGAGATGGCAACACGGAGGACAAACAGAAACAACAAGGAAGCATAGTTCAGCAATTAAAACTTTCTACTTTTTTTCCTTTTACTTTGTTAATGTTTTCAAGCTTTTGCTGCAAAGCATATCATTAACCACTTGCAATACCGTGATAGAGAATCTTATTACTCATGCATTAAATTGCTCAAATTTCACAATACATCAGCTGCAAGAGATAAAGGGCATGTTTTTCCAATCCAATGCAGACAGCTGTGTGTCCATTCTGCCCCTGATTTAAGCTGGCTGAATGAAAGTAATATTTTGATGTTATGCTAAACCCAAGCTAATGCACCCTTTCTCTCAGTAGACTGCATTCACTTGTGTGCAGCCCCATTATAATCCAGCCATATGGCTCCCAAACTGGAGCTGGCTCAAATCCAGTCAGCTTGGAGCACAGGTGTGACTGTCTACACCTGAGAGATAAGCATTAGTTCAGGGAAATCTCCGATGTGTGGCTGAAGAGTTGTGATTTTAGAGAAGAGACAGGGAGTGTCTTGCACATATGTCAGGTAGTTGTAGCTAAAAGTCTTCAACAGAATCTTCCAAAAGAAATTTGATCAAAATTCTGAATTTGAGTTCAAAGAACAATGTATTTTAATTTTGAAGTGCTTTTTTCATAAGTCATCACTGGTTTAATATATACGCAGGTACAATAAAAATACATACTATAAACAAGTATACAATGTACTTGCTACCCAGTCCTTGATTCTATAGCAACTAGGTGTGGTAGGCTGGAGGTTCACTGCCTGACTGATATAAATTAAATTAGTCTAGGTGTCACCTGATTCAGTAGAGTGTACATTTACACCTGTAATTATTCACATTGCAATTTTAATAGAAGTTTGGTACTATCAACCCCTTACAGTAATTCAAAAGAAGTCTCAGGGAGAGGCTTTACTGAAAATACTTTAATTACAGACTGAGTTATTTTCCCACACCACATAAGTAAAATATACTGCATCGTTATTACAGCCTCATCCCTGCTTCCTCTGCTTTATTACTTTACATAAAATTCTCAAGAAACCTAAATCCTTAGAATTTGTTTTTCTGCTTCATTTCTGCAGAAGCATTTTACGCTTTTTCTTACTTAAGTAGATCATTTAAGAAATAGATCAAAGCTGGGCTTTCAAAGATCCAATTTCGGCACAGGACTAAAGCACATTTCTGAAAATACCTGGTACCTGAAAACACTTCATAGGGATTTCCAAAAGCACATGGCCATGAAATGTACTTAACTTCCTTTGTGTGTGATACTTATATTAAGGCTTTTCAGAAACTGTCTTGGACCATGTAAGTCTTTATCCATAGATGCACATGTAGGTGTGCCTGAGGACTTTGCTGAACCAATCCAATGTGAGTAGGCAACTCTGTGGCTATCTACACTCATTTTGGTCCTAGCAGAATCTATACAATACAGTCATAGAATCATGGAATCATTTAGGTTGGAAAAGACCTTTAAGATCAAGGTCAACCGTTAACCTAACACTGACAAGTCCACCACTAAACCATGTCCCTAAGTGCCACATCTACCTGTCTTTTAAATACCTTCAGGGATGGTGACTTGACCACTTCCCTGGGCAGCCTGTTCCAGTGCTTGAAAACCCTTTCAGTGAAGAAATTTTTCCTACTATCCAATCTAAACTTCCCCTGGCAGAGCTTGAGGGCATTTCCTCTTCTCCTATCTCTTGTTACTTGGGAGAAAAGACTGACACCCACCTGACTACAACCTCTTTTCAGGTGTAGAGAGCAATAAGGTCTCTCCCCAGTGTCCTTTTCTCCAGGTTAAACAACCCCAGTTCCCTCAGCCACTTCTCATAAAAATTGTTCTCTAGATCCTTCACCAGCTTCATTGCCTTTCTCTGGACACACTCCAACACCTCAATGTCTTGTAGTGATGGGCCACACAGTATTTGAGGTGTGGCCTCACCAGTGCCCAGTACAGGTTAACAATCACTTCCCCAGTCCTGCTGGCCAAGCTATTTCTCATACAAGCCAGGATGCTATGATCTTCTATTATCTATATATATGATGATCTCTTTACTCTTTTCCTGCATCACTGTTAAATAAGATGACTAGGGAGACCTGAGCTCAGGGAAAGATTTTTCAGTTTCTTTGGGGCAGTTATCATTCTTCTCTCTTCTCCTTCTCCATTTTGTAGCCCTCTATCTGCACAGATCCAGAAGGCCTCACTTGAAGAAAGATATGAAAAACAGAGATGGACTTAGATAATGTAACTAATTACAGAAACTCAGAAAGTTTACTTTTGTAATATAATGACTGCGACTGTTTCTTGGCATAACCTCTGTTCCAGAGAGTCTTGTTTTTATGAGGAACTGGAAGATTTGGCTGCTGCTGTGGTATATTTGAGCCATTAGAGTAGTTCACATCAGAGTACAAACATTAAATGTTTCTAAACTGGAGCTACGGGTGAACAGTTCATAGCATCTGCTGTGATGAAGGTGCTTTCTGTGTCCAGAAGTCTTGTCCCCTAAATCAGCCAAAATGTATTGCTGGGGATGTGACAGATTTCCAGTAAACTGTATGGCCCAGAGTGCAATTGAACCAATCTAAAATTCACTGTGCTGTTTTCTTTATATTCCGTAGCACTTATATATGCTGAATGTGCAGATAGTCCTTTCAGTATTGTAATATGGAAACATTGGAACACTGGTGAATAAAGATCTTCAGTGTGGGATTTATCTGATCTGTCTTTACCTGCTGTGAACCATTTAGTTCAAACTAGCTGTTTAGGCTCCCTGAACATTCAGTGGATCCATCCTTTCATTATCAGATGGTCAGCTAAAAACTGGGACAGATTGCTCTCCTGTGTTGCCTGACTTCTCAGCGGAGGGAGCCTAGACACCAAGCTTCAAATAAAACCCTCCGCAGATATGCAGTTGTTGGCTTTGTCCCTGTTCTGATCAGCCTCAAGTAATTTTCTGTATTTCTAGTAAATAGTTATTTAGAACATATAAGAAAAGCAATGTACACTCAAGACAGATAAAGCCAATGCAAAGATGAAGGAAATCCTCACCTGCTCAGTCATTTTTTACCAGAAACACTGGGGGTGTTGAAGTTAGAAGCAAAATGAGTGGAATTTTCAGGGCTTGAGAAGTCAGGACTAAGCCTTTGTGCATATCCTTGCCCAGCCAGGGAGTGACTGTGAAGCTACCACCTAGTTTTTAGGACACACATCTTGCAGACTCCCTTGTGAAAATTTTGTTGGAAAATAAAACCAATCAGGACAAAAGTCCATGGTGCACCTTTGGGAATTATTTTTAATAAACGTTTCATTTCTAATTGTTTTCTTTTCACAGCTGCTTGCAGAGGACTGGCCCTTCGGTGTTGAAATGTGCAAATTAGTACCCTTCATTCAAAAGGCATCAGTGGGCATCACAGTGTTGAGTTTGTGTGCCCTCAGTATAGATAGGTGAGACCCATTTTTTTCATCAAACTCTGTAATTTCTCTTCCATATGAGCTTTGTCTCAAATTTGCCTTTCCACTCCTCTGATATAATACTAGTAAATTGAGTTTAAGACAGTTAAACCATGTGGATTTTCTTATATTTTTAATTTGAAAACATGTGCTCTTGCTTCAGGTACCGAGCAGTTGCTTCTTGGAGTCGTATTAAAGGAATTGGAGTACCAAAGTGGACTGCTGTTGAAATTGTACTGATTTGGGTTATATCAGTGATATTGGCTGTTCCAGAAGCTATTGCATTTGACATGATTACAATGGAGTACAGAGGAAAGGATCTTAGAATCTGCCTGCTTCACCCCACGCAGAAAACATCCTTTATGATGGTAAGACACCAACGTTAATAAAACCACAGCTCTCCACACCAGTTCCTTGGATCTTCTCAACGTTGTGTGGATTGTAATGTGCACAAGTGTATGTGAAACACAGGTGAACAAAATGTTCATATCAAATGCTGACAAATTTCTGAAGGATGTTGCTTAGAAGAAGAGCATCCAGAAACTTGTCTTTTTGTGGGCTTTGGGCTTATTATTGTCTTGTCCTGTTTTCTCATCTGTAATTTACATCTCATAGAGATGCTTTTCAGGACAGAATGACCAATTAGCTATAGCGTACTTTCCAAAATGCTCAACACTCAACTCCTAACAATGTTTTTTCTTTTGTTTTCTTTCTAGTTTTACAAGCAAGCTAAAGACTGGTGGCTGTTTAGCTTTTACTTCTGTTTGCCACTGGCTATCACAGCATTTTTCTACACACTTATGACCTGTGAGATGTTACGAAAGAAAAGTGGGATGCAGATTGCTTTAAATGACCATTTAAAACAGGTAAAAATTTATCCCTGACAACTCTGCTGACTGTAAAGAGGATGACAGTAATACTTTTACCGACTTTACTGCCACATAATTATTCCATTCTTGTATGACAACTTCAAGATTACTACTAAGGAGAAGTTTCCTAACAGTGGTGCTGCTGAACTTATGTACATGTATATATGTGTGTGTATATAGAGAGAGAGAGAGATATCAGAGCCCTCAGAAACCTAAGATTCTAACTGACAATCGCAAACCTGTATTTTTCTTGTTTGGAGTTAATCCTTCAAGTTTTTAGTTTTTATTTCTTCTTTACAGTCATGAGAGATGAATATTTTGTAGTGAAAACTGAGTTTGTGCTGTACTCTAAAAGCTGGTGCTGTAAAATTATTAATTCTTTTGAATTAATTTCATGCAGAACTGTAGTGAGGTTAGCAGTGTATGTTAGCAGAACAAAAAAACATTTCAAAATACATTCCAAGTTAGTAGTGCACCAGACACAAACATCATACATCACTAGAATTAAACTACATTTGTACTATAAAGTATATTTGTAATCCTTTCCTCTTACCTTGATAAAGCTGTAATTGAAATCTCTTGGGGCATTTAAAATAAGACCTGAGATCAAAGCACAAGAAAATGCAGTTGGAAACAAACTGGTATTTGAAAATCACTGGGGAGACAAGTATCATAGAAACATTTGGGTTGGAAGGGACGTTTAAAGGTCATCTAGTCCAACCCCCCTGCAATGAACAGGGACAGCTTCAACTAGATCAGGTTGCTCAGAGCTCCATCCAACCTGACCTTGAATGTTTCCAGGGATGAGGCATCTACTGCCTCTCTGGGCAACCTGTTCCAGTGTTTCACCACCTTCACTGTAAAAAATGTCTGCCTTATGTCTAGTAAATCTACCCCCTTTTAGTTTAAAATCATTACCCCTTGTCCTATTGCAACAGGCCCTGCTAAAGTTTGTTCCCATCTTCCTTATAGGCCCCTTTTAAGTAAAGGGGTAAATAAGGTCTCCCTGGATCCTTCTTTTCTACAGGCTAAACGACCCCAACTATCTCAGCCTTTCTTCATAGGAGAGGTGTTCTAGCCCTCTGATCGGGTTTGTGGCCCTCTTCTGGACCCGCTCCAACAGGTCCATATCTTTCCTATGCTGGAGGCCCCAGAGCTGAATATAGCCCACCAGGTGGGGTCTCAAAACAGAAGAGTAGGGGAGGAGAATCACCTCCTTCGACCTGCTGGTGACACTTCTCTTGATACAGTCCAGGATATGGCTGACTTTCTGGTCTACGAGTGCACATTGCTGGTGCATGTCCAGGTTTTCATCCACAAATACGTTCTTCGTTTTAATTTAAATGACTGTTTTCATGTTCATGATTTTTCATATTATTACTTATACGAGAATCAGTGCAAGATATCTAAACCAACAGAAAAGATAAAATTACATATTCCAAGAAAATAAGGTATTCTGATGTTGTTCTAACTCCTATTTTGACAGGGATTTTATCTAGTTTATCAAATATTTGGATATTCTGGCAAAAATAATCATGAGTTTCAGAAACTATAACACTGTTCTGTCCAATTTACTTTTTCAGAGGCGTGAGGTGGCCAAAACCGTGTTCTGTCTGGTACTTGTTTTTGCCTTGTGCTGGCTCCCACTTCACTTAAGCAGAATATTGAAGCTCACTATTTATGATCAGAAGGACCCCAACAGATGTGAACTTTTAAGGTGAGACTGTAAAAATAAAATACGCCTGTGCTGCTGACATTCTCTATAAGTGCGGCTGGATTTCCTAATGAACTAACTTATTTTGGGTGTCTGGAGTTCTCTCTGCTTCATCCAGGAGACTGGTCTCACTCCAGTAGAAGAGCCCGGAAATTATGAGGAATCCCATGAACACAGGGCTTCTGTCCTGTTTGCCTGTCTTCTTCTGATCTCTTTTGGGACTGTCCTGCTCGCTTGTGGTGTTACATGGGTGGAGGGGGGATTTCTGTCCCCGCTTTCCCTTTCAACAGAACAGCTAGGATTAAATCTGAGGAAAACCGTGTGAATTTTTCCTCCAACAAGTTAAGATGGTTGGATCTTCTGAAGTTACATTAATTAAAATGGCCTACTGATTCAGAATTACATTAATTAGAATGACCTACTGATTCAGACTTCATTACTGAGCACAGTTGTTACCTCCGTGAGTTAATACTGTTGATATAGGCCCCTTTAGTATTATGTTTAATAGTTAGTCTTGATTGAGTGAAGCTGAGTCCAGTTTTCATAGTTGTAAACTATGACTATCTACTAAGCCTTTTCAGAGAAAATGAGAAGCATCTCACTTACTTTAATTTCCACACAGCTTTTTTCTTGTGATGGACTACATTGGTATTAACATGGCTTCACTGAATTCCTGCATCAATCCGATAGCTCTGTATTTGGTGAGCAAAAGATTCCAAAACTGCTTTAAGGTAAGAGGCTGCTGGGAGCTGCTCCTTTTATTAAAAGATGATGCCATCAATAAAATTAATTCCATAACATGCACAAAGTGTTTTAAAAGGGCATTACATTTTACTGTAATACCACAACAACTGGGTTGTGGTAGGTGTTCTCTCCCTCTCCTGCTGAAGCTACATAGAAATGAATTAAGGATTCACAGGGACAAAAAGAGAAAGCAAAAGAGAGGATTGTACAATAAGCCCTCTCGGCACCATACTAATCAGTGCTACATCACTTCCTGACTGGAGCTGGCACCCAGCCACATGGAGAGCACTGACAAAGCAGACTTAGACCGTGCTGCAGAATTTCACGTAGCCATATCCTCTGCAACCCAACGGGGAGGGCACTGACCCCAGGTTCCTCTATCATGACCGAGCACTTAAATCAGCAAGCAGTTCTGTAAGGCAGATGATCTAAGTATCCACTTGTCCCCATCCACTGCCAACGTTTTATGAGACAGACCTGTTCATAGTTTTGCTTTGGTTTGAGTGAATAGACCTGGGCACTAAATCTCCACGCAGAATTTGAGGCTCTGGATCGCATGTGGATTGCAGCTCATCAGTCCTTCAGCCTTCATATCTTCTCAGATAAATGTCCAAATTTGGTCTTTAGAACTTCTTTGTAGCCCCCGTCTTCAGACACTGTATCAGGGTTCTTACATTGCCTACTGCAAACTCTGAGGTTTTTCTTTTGTTGTAAAGCATTTATTTAACCATTGGCCCCTGCTAGGCTTATTTCCTAGCTGTGCAAATTTCTTACTGGATATGTCTTTTCATCAGAAGCCAGTCAGCTCTACACTTAGTGTTGTTGGGGTTTTTCCTCCATAATGCAACAGCACACGTTAGATATGCTTTAGTATCAGTCTTGTCTTCCCTGTTTTCATTACCAGTTCCCATGGGAGCTGAGAGCACCTAAGAGATGTGATCCTGAGCATGGTAACAAGTAAGTGTGCAGGATCCCAGATGGACTTCCAGCACTCAAAGGCCAGTCAGTAGCATCAGCAAAAGGTCTGCAGTACATCTAGTAAATGTTTGAAATATATGTAGGTTTTCATCATTCTCCTTCTTAGATCCCTTTTTTCCCCCGCAAAAAAAAAATCAATAACAACATCTTGCTTAGAAAGTATGGATTACAGTGCCTACATATTTTTCCAAGAAAGATTATGAGACAAAGGACAACAAGTAGTCTTATTTTATTTTCAGATGCATTTAGAATTGCAGACCAGACTCAAAGCAGTACCTGGTGGGGCCATTATTATATATAACTCAGTATAACTCTTCCTGCCCTCCAGTGCTCAGGTTGGTTGCTAAAGGGGCACCCCAGAAGTTAGTGGCCACCTGAGCGATGCAGAGCTTAACCCTCTTTCTTTGCTTACACTGTAATGCCAAAATGGCACACTTGACATTTCTTACAGTATGGCTGAAGAAGGGGAGCATTTCAGTGCATTTTGCCACATGTGCAAAACAAAATGATGTAAAATACTTATTCTTTTTATTTTAACAGTCATGCTTGTGTTGCTGGTGCCAATCCAAAGATCTGTTGTCCCTGGAGGAAAGGCAGTCCTGTTTAAAGTTCAAAGCTAACGATCACGGATATGATAATTTCCGCTCCAGTAACAAGTACAGCTCTTCATAAAACAAGCATAAAAGGTATATTCTCTTAAATTAATGCTGGTGCCTTTTTAAGTAAAAGTGGCAATCACTTTTAACGAGATGGTAACGCTTAGAGAAATCTAGTTTTGTTAGAAAAATCTAGTTTTGTGTTTGCACAAAAAAATCCATAAAAAAAATAATTGCCCCCAAACTGTGTCACATTCAAACTCATGGACATTTATAAAATTGTCATGTATAGAACATGAAGAAAAGTGTAGAAAGTCATTGTTAGCACTTGAATACTTCTGAATCAGCACTTCCAAATGATCCTCACTTCCTGCACATTAAATGATCATTTGTATTCGCTATAACAGTTGTAGGAACTGAAGTCACAGTAATTACTAGGCAGTATAATATAACACTAATTGGATCAAAGCCATTATTATGTATAACTCAATATATTATCCTTTATAAAGCAGATTAACCACCATCAATATTGCAGTTTTTTTAAATAAAACATGAAATACTTTGTAACAGAAGATTAAATGTAAAAAAGTAGCAATTTATTTGGGATATTGTAGAGGTAGCTAATGAAAATACTGAAGAATACAGTCAAGTCAAAAGTGCATTTAACACTGGTAACTGTCTTTACCTTTTATTGTTAGAAGAAACCTCTGAAGGCCTCTATAAATGCCATTTTGTAACCACCTTGTGTGTTCACTGCATTGGGCAGCACTTTGGGTATGGTTCATTTCACTGTTTCCATGTTATTCATGTTTAATGACAGCAGAGGGGAGAAAAAACACCAAAAGCAAAAATTAATACTACTAGAACCATACAAATGATGGCTAGTATTGGAAACTAGCTATTTTTAACTAAAAATAAATTGATTATATCCCATGTAAACAGTGGGCCTTCAAGATCCTGATGTTTCTTTACTCAAAATACTTTTGCAACAATTTACAACTGTTTTTGCAATCCAAATACTGTCTTGGGGCAAAATCCTTTAGAAATAGCAGGTGGAAAAATGTAACCAAGGAAAACAGAGGGAGAATTTGAACTTCTATTTTCATTTAGACTTAAATAGTCATAAAGAAAATAATGCACAAACTGTACTTCTAGAGAACAGTACTATGTAGCACACTTGTCTTCATACTGTTTTAAAATATGTTCTACTTCTGTAGTTCCATATTCATGGGCTTAAGAAGATGTGTGATTAGTTTCTGCTCCTGTAAATAGTTTAGTGAAGCGTAATTAATTATAAATATTAAAATATGGGCAGGACCCTGTGAGAAAACAGAAAGATAAAGATGCCTGTAGTAAACATGATGGGTGTTGCCAGGAGCAATACACATTTTGTACATACATGACAGGTCATTCTTCGGCTTTTCATTTCCTATTAATTTGTTACAGATGTCCCCAAAGACGTAATAACGTATTTTGTGCACTAAAGCATGAGTTTTTCAAGAAAAAATATTATATAGCATGCTTTTATAAAAGACATGTTTTCAATAGGCATGGTATTTTATTATAATAAAAATATTTATCAGAACTCAGGATTTTTTTTTAATTTCCAAATTTCACATGCAAGGATTTTTGCTTTTTTTTCCAGACTTGATTAACTTCACATTTTTTAATAAAAAGTGCCTTAAATATGCTCAGGATGAAAACAGTTTTCATTAAAATGTTAAGCTGATATTACCTGAGATGGGTTTCATCTCATCTGACTTTAGGTAGCTGCAGCTACCTTGCAGAGAGCTAAAAACAGGAGAGGTGAACCCCATTCCTGGTGTTGCCCCATCAAAAGCTAGTAAGTGTATGCTTGTATAATCAAGCTAAGGACCTATGCACATGCATTTGAGCATGGGCATGTGTATGTGAATATGTGTGCAAGTGTGGATGTTGTCTACCATTAGGTTGCCGTTACCACCTTTCTGCAGCACGTGCACCCAACTGCTACAATGCTGAAGTTTTATAAATATAAATCTATGTAAAGTTTTGTTCTTTACATTTTTACCTTAACTTTCATGGTAACTTCTCATGGTAAGCCATGAGTATCACTTCACTTCACCCTGCCTGCATCTATTTCTGTGAAATACATTTCATCTGTTAAGGATGGAAAATCAATTAAATCCTAAGTTTGATACTGATCAGTGTTATTTTCATCAAGTTATAGCATTACAATATTGTACATGTATATTATTATTTTTATTTAAAATATAGCTGTTGTATTGGCAAATGTGTAACATATTTTTCATTTTTTCCTGGACTAATTCTTTGTTAAGATGAGTCCTGCTAAGTCAGACATTTAGGTTTTGCAAATAAAGACCATACATACTGCCTGCTTTTTGGAGTTAATGTATACATATTAGTACACATATTGTCTTTTTTGCAGTATTTTTCAAAGCAGTATTTTTACTGAAGCTCTCATTTCCTGTAATAAAAATTTTCAAAACTTCTGCTCTAATACAGTTAAAAGAATACACAGGAGAGAGCTCCAGTGCATCTGTGTTCTAGCTAAGATGGAATCTCTTAATACTGAAGACAGGCATTTTCTAAAGTCCTCAGCACAGACCTATTCCTCCATCTACTGAAATCAATCAATGTTTTAATCATTTGATTCAGTTAGAGGAGAATTAGGACACAGCAATATCTCTTCAAAAAACCTAGCTGACATTTGCTTTTTTTTTTTTTTTTTTTTTTTTTTTTTACAAAAGAGTTGTTTAGAAAAGTCAGGAAAAGAGGGTAAAATCTGCTCATGGGGTAAAACAGCCTCAAGCAGGGAGTCGCAGGTAGCAGAACTGCAGAGAGGCACATGTGTTTTTATAAGAGTTCAATGTAGTTGCCCAGAGTAGTGTGACAGAGTAAGAATCATCTGTCCCAATGTCCTGAAGAGTTGACACAGAATACCTTGAGATGAAAAAAATAAACTTGTAAGAAACTGCATCACAGGCCTGTGCTTTGGCCTTCAGGTAGTAGCTAGATTTTACTTCCCCAGCTGCTCTGAATTCTGCCTGCACACAGCTCTTGGAGTTAGAGAGGGCATTTCAGACTGGGTGGGCTGAACTCATACACTGGTACTACACCTCAGAGAATCAAATGCAAAATTTGATGGTTATGGAGCATCTGCTCTGAGTTGTGGCATTTCACTGTCCGAAACAGCTCTTAAATCAACACAGTTGGGTTAGCAAGAGAATGTTGTATATACTGAAGTAATGTTAAAAGGATTTTTTTTAATTGTTCTGTATGGCTGTGTAAAATAATTCTATATTTCATTTTCTGTGGTCACTTAAATAGCAAGTTCTGTGGTTCAGACAGTGTAAACATACTAAATTACCAATAAAATATTTGTAATTTTGACTCATTGCAATAATACGTCTGACCTTTTTTCTTCTACGAGGTCCCATTTAATTGTTAATGATGTAGAAAAGAATTAAGCAATTCAGAAGTAAAAATCAAAGCTTATGAGTTGGATAGTTTTATATAGCTGAAAACTGGAGTGAGTTCAGACTTGCATACGCATTGCAAAATTGTCTGATGTTTGTTGGAACAATCAGTCATGCTTGTCTTTGTTCTGTTTGGTTTTGCTCAAAATGTCAGTTGCAATCTCTTCTCTACACACCCATATATAGTCACAAATCCTCCTGTGTTAGGGACATCACAAATAAAAGGCATCAAACTTTTATTCCATTAATTCAGAAGTGCATGCACTCGATGCTGGAATATGCTTCATGAAAATCATTATCCCTTTGTATGCTGACTATAATTTTGTGTATATTTCAATTTACCTTTTCTTAAAGCAGTGGAAAATGGTAACAGACTAAGTGTGCTGTAGCTTGTCAAATATATAACTGTATATGCTTGTAGTATCTGTACATCCCAAAACGTGTTTGCTGCTACTGTTGATTTATTTCAAATAGTTAGTTTTCCTTCTGCTTAATTGGTGGCCTGCTGCATCCATATAGATTTGTGGTTTTTCATGGTCCCAGGACCTATAGCACATAATTTTGAGTTTCCTATACCTGGAACAGAAGCCCCTGTAGATATGGGATCTCTTTTAAGTAAATATTCTACTCAGTATCTGTCATGGCCTCTTCACTTCCTTTCCCTCATCTTGGTCCTCAGTAATGCTATGGGCTGGATTCTTCGCCAACTGCTCATTACAAAGAATCATTTTTTGCATATTACTTCTGAGATCCTACAGGTAGGCTATAGTCTTCACAGTCCAGCTAACTTACACCCTTGTCACAATTCATTTTTCTAACATCCACGGTTTTATCTATTGCAGTCTTGGCTCTTACATTTAGGGGATTAACTGCAGCTTGTTGATTTTCTAAACACACCAGAACTTAGATAGCAACATGGATAACATGTAGCTTACATTCTTCAAACACTGACTCACTCAAACAACTCTTGAGATGGGTAGATTGGGCACTCTGGTGTTGGAGCAGGATGGTCCAATTGGCAACCCTTGGCTGGGTCTGGTCTATAGAGGGGTTCACTTTTTACTGCACCTTCCTGCAGCCTGCTGCTCAGACCGTCGTGTTCTTGTAGTCTGCTCAAGAAGGCCCAAGAGTTCTCCACGTACATGCAGTGCACTTCTGTTCAAATTTCAATCCAAGTTGCTGAACAGCTGTCCACATCAGAAGATCAAGGGAGACAAAAATGGGTCGAAATTAGTCTTCTGTGTTCTGCTGGTCATCTTTCTTCTCAGTCAGCAGTGGTAAGATTACTGTATTAGATAGCAACAATAGTCACATGGTTTATTGGCTTGCAATTGCTAACTTAAAAGTGCTGTTATTAAATAAAACCCTGGCATCTATTTGGTCTTGTCAGTCTTTCAAAGTAATCTCATTTAGCTGTGAAGGAGGTCCCAAATCTCACCATCACCAGTGAAACACGCCC